TGTTACTTCAAGTAGCTTCTGGCTATTTGCAACGGCTGCTTGTAAAATTGACTGCCGGCTCAACAATATATACCCGGAAGCGATCGTTACCTTACGTTTGTACGTGACTCAAAATGAAGCGCAACTTCGGGGACGATGAATTACAACGCCTTTACAAAAAAGCGGAGTTTGATAGAGAGCACAAGGAGGTAAAGAAAATCGAGAAAAGAATTAGAAGTTTAGTTGACGAAATCTCTGTCTATATAGGCCGCAAGGATCCACTTTTTAAAAACTTTGTAATACCCAGCGGAAGTTTTTATGAAGATCTGAAAGTCGAAGGACCCGATGAATTCGATTTTATGATTTGTTTGGAGCAGCTTTCCTCTCCTGGTGTTTGTGTTACGAAGGATATTCCCATGAGACCGGTCCCCGATCCCGGCTACGTAGATGTTCAGGTGTCAAACGCAGTTTATCGCAATCGGTGGAAAAGCTACATTTCCAAGCGAGGAAATCTCAAACCCGATGTTCTCTTGAAAAGATTCAAACAACTCATCGAGGAAGCCATAGATAAGCGAAAGCGGTCTTGCAGGGATGAGTTAGATGAATATGTCGATATTCAGCTCAGAAAAATCCCGATAACGATCAAGGTTAGATGGCATGGCAAGGAGTACTCGAACTTTGAAATAGCCGTCGATTTAACTTTGTGCATCAAAATGTCAGGATGGCCCGACGCATCAGACATATTGACACGAGTGAACAGGGGGCACCCAGGCTATGAAGCATTCAGAAAGGCTGCCGCGGAGGGTTATCATCTTGTGGCTTCTACCATTGGAGAGTCTGGGAAGCATCGGCCCTGTTGGCGTTTATCTTTTTCAATACCCGAAGGAGTTATACTCAAACACATCTTCAAGAGTCCGAACCTCGTTCACAAGGCGACGCTTAAGGTTCTCAAGGTATTGCGGAAGGAAAATGAAGATTCCTTACTTCTCCTTGAACAGCCCGACGAGGGATCTTTCAGCATAACATGGGTGTTTCATTCGTACGTATTAAAAACAATGTTCTTACACGAATGGACTCAATATCCGGAAGATTCATATTGGACGAAAGATCAACTAGGAGAAAGAATCAAGGGCATGTTAGAAAGGATTCAGAGTAGTGTGGCTCGCAAAGACATTCGCAGTTTCTGGGTTCCAGGTTATAAACTTTTTAATTTCCGAGCAAGAAAAGCAACGAACACGAAGAGTTGTGTGGATAACCTTGCCAGTCTCTTGAAAAAATTTAAATTTTCGTAAATTGGTCTCCTGAACAAGTGTCCACTCACAAAAAAATATTTAGAATATGTTACTATGGCAATAAGTAACTCAGGGTCTCAGGGTCTTCCCTTTTCTGGGCGTTATTTATCCGATTATAAAACTCCTCGGCGTTTATTGTTATTTTTTTTTTATCTTTTTCAATGAGGCGTTAACTTCAAAATCACATTTCTTAAATCGCTGGTAACAGTTACAATAAATCATTTGTGAAAGAAAGATGTTTAAACATCTGTTAAAGGTACGACTACCTTATTGTTTAGTTTATTCTCATTGACCTATTCATTTTAAATTTTACATTTTTATTCGCATAAAATTTCCAACTGTACTCCTTTTTAACTTTTTAAAAAAATTTATATATTTGTAGCATAAAGAGAACATACAACTTTCAAACAAGCAAATTTTATTGAACACGTTCGATGACTCCCTTCCAATGCAAATGCCAAATTCAAGTCAAAGCAAACTTCGTCTCACTGGTTTTACTGCAAAAGAAATACGTTGTATGCTTGCAAGAACATTGTAACGAAACCTAATTTAGGTGAATTTTTACGTAAGCTTTATGAACAATATCGCATTGAAAATTGTCGCAAACAATATTGAATATGTGTGGCAACTGACAGGCTTTTTATCTTTCAATACTTTTTATTGTAATTTGTTTTGTTACTTACTGACTTATTTATTTATTTATTCTTTTACTTTGTGCTGTGTATTAATGTTGTTAATTTGTTGTCAATAAAAAAAATATTTGTAACAACTTTCCGTTTCTTCAATAAATCCCTCCAAGAAGAACGGCTTGACCGTTCGAAATATTGGGAATTCTCGAATCTCTGTTCTTTACTGTTTTGTTATTACAGTTTATTGGTCCTTGAATAAACACCACACCCTAATTCTAATTGGGTGCGGCGATTATTTGAGGGTTTGCGTTCATTGGTAATTCTGCTTCCCTTTGCGGCGCTTAAACGAGGGCGGCGCTTAATCGAGTGATTACGTTACTGCAGTTGGTTCTTTTTGAGTAGTATAACCTAACATTTGCCTCGTCAGACAAAGGATTTTTTGCATCTACAACGGCAGAGCCAAGCCGAAAACGGGCGCTAGGGAGCTTAAGAAACAACGACGGAGTTGGCCACGAGAACGTTATTACGGCAAAAACTCTGCTCTTGTAGGACACTCTTTTCTATGTACACTTCCTTACTGTCAATGTAGGACTACCTCGTGAAATGGACCAGTTTTAAAACAGTCAAACCCCGTTACTGGTACGGACACTGAAGAAGCCATAGAAAGTGTCTCTGAGTATTAACGGGGTGCCCGTATTCAGAGAGGGTCATGAAAACCTTTTTTGGTGGAACAAATACTAAAGAAATAATAGATGACATTAGTATCCTCAAATTAAACATCTCTAGCCATCACAAAGCCGTCATTCCGCCGACCGAATTCACGGAAACACTTAAGTATCAGTTCTCTACTGAACTCGTTTGGTGCCAAAACAATCAGTGAAATTGACGTATACAAATCATGGTATCCGGTGTACTGTAGCGCGCTGGGAAAATCGACATGCTGTCAACTGAATTTTTTTCATGCCATCAAAAAGGATAAATCCACTACAGCTCATAACTGGTAATGAAGTGTCCGCTCTAGCGAGGTTGATTTTCTATGAAAATTTGTTGATTGGGCAAGAAAAAAGTGTCTGTTGTCCTCCTTTATGGTTGTTTTTTTTTTAAGTGGGTTGAATGTAGAGAAAATGTAAGGGCTTTCTTTCCCCAGGGACAAAGGAAAACTGTCCGTAATAACGAGGTGTCCGTATTAAGAGGGTTCGACTGTATTTTAAACATCAATCTTTAAGCTCCGAGGCTTAGGGAATAAATTAAAAAAAAAAAAAAAACACCTATCGAATCAGGATAAATAATATGTTTTTTTGTTATATTCCTCCACGTCAAGGAGCCAAGTACGATTTTTACAAACGCCAGTGAGGGCGAGAGAGTGAACCGCGGGACTTAGGGGACCTTGAGGCGCTCACTCTGGGGAGCTATTTACATGGAGGGAGGAAGATCCTAGAAGGCGAAAGTTTCGGTCCGTGTGGTACCCAAGTAGAGACAGTTCTAGAAGGAATTAAAAATAGCGGGCGAAAAAAACAAGAATGCAATTTGGCAGTTTGGCTCTCTTTACTGTCGTTAATATAAGTATAATTTCAGCAAAATTATGACAATAAGCAGCTCGTGGTAATGCCAAACGAAATGGTCAGCCTTTATTGCCGTGATTATCCACTGAACGACCCACCGCCATTTTTGCCTAGTTTGCCCCTAGTGCTTGAATTTTCCTAGCGAAGGCAGTTTACATGGTGCTATGATCTCCCTAGTACTCAGATCTTCCTACCTCTCAGTTAGGAAAATCCTACAACTAAGAAGTTCCTAGCGATAAGGACAAGTACAACCCTTTGCATGTAAACTGAATAAAGAAAACATATGGCGCTAGGATGATCCGCCTTCTATGATCTTCCTGGTCAACTAGGATCTTTCTCTCTCCACGTTTACAGCCCTTTAATTTGACTTTCCTGACTGGCCAGAAAAAGCAAGGATTTCAAATGTTTCGGAAGCAAAGCCTCGTTTACAGGTGCAAGTCTTTCCAAGAAAAGAAAAAAAACGAAAGCCATAAGACTGCTAACAGGAAAACAAGGACAACGGCATCAGCAGAGGAAAACGTTACCTACAGACTAAGGAACGCTTTCCTGACCGTAGCATATTAGAACGCAATTGTAGCATGGTTGAAATTTTGCTTCTGGGTAGCTGATAAAAAATTTTTTTCCGCTGTGGAAAACGTTCCTTAGAAAAATATTCGCAACAATTACGACTGTTAAAATCCTTGGTATTTATTAAGATATATTACAGAATTTATGGCACACTCAACGCAACTCCCAATGTACGTCACCCAGGCTTATTCTGAAAAAGCTATATATATTTCATATAAGAATGCATTTTTTCCAGGATATTTAGTTTAAAATTCAAGTTTTGATGCGATACTTCGCAACAATTACATATTTCATATATTGGCCGCGAATTTCTGTTAATGTTAAATAACTTACTTCACCAGTAATAATGATAGTTATAAGGTATGAGTACTATTAAATAAATATATACACCTGAACAACAAGTTTTCCCGGTAGTAAATAAAGAAATGTAAAGTACCAAGATTTGCCCGGGACAGCGGTCTTTGTAAAAACTCTGGCTTTGCAGCTACCTTGATTGCAATAATCTAAGTGCAAAAGAGTACGGAAACTCGTTAAAACTTACCCCAAATATTATTTAACCCGCGGGGAATGGAAGTTGACTTTTTTTTATGACGGACCGTTTATCCTTTTTCCTCGGCGGGAAGTGGATAAAAATGATCCGTGTAAACATTTCGACACGTGAACTCGCGGTGAAAACACATTGCATGACACAAAAGCCCAACATACTGTAAGGCTTTCTTTTTAGTTCCTACCACTTTATTCTCCTATTCATATCTCCGTCTCAGTTTCCAACCCCTCAAATACTCCCCCACTCCTCCCCTCATATGTTCATTAGTAGCCATTGAAAGGTTACTTCTTGGCTACCAAACTTTCCTTGTTATCATATCGTGAAGCTGGAATGCCAGCTGATTAAGAAAATATTCACTTCAAACGCCCAAGATTTCCGTGGAAGATGAATAGTGTCAGATCACAGAGGAGTATTGCAGATAATGTTAAAGAAACTCAGAGTTGATTTTCTCTCCTATTAACCATCTTCTTATTTCACTTGTACCAGCACCGATTTCATACAATTTAGCATCTCGAAGAAACCTTCCTGTAGGATAATCATTTATGTAACCATTTCCACCTGGTTGAAAGAACAAGACCAAAATACGAATTAATATCAATGCTACATACAACTAAGATGCCCGCCTAAACGTTAGACTTTCCCAAGGCTTGGTGGAGAGCACGGACTTTTAAGCGCGGCGAATTCAAGAACTGTAAAGTCCCAAGATTTGCCCGGGACAGTCTTTGTAAAAACTCTGACTTTACAGCTACCTTGATTGCAATAATCTAAGTGTAAAAGACTACGGAAGCTCGTCAAAGCAAACTCTAAATATCATTTAACCCGGGAGGAATGGAAGCTGACATTGCTGAAAAACGAGTTGAATAGCGATGTTGCGCGTTTTAACACCTTATAACCAAACCTGGCTTGAAACAATTCAGGTTATTGCAGGCTGCGAAAAATGTTGCAGAAGTAGAGAGTGGTTCTACTTTTTGCAACAAAATCTGTGCACGTTGCGTGTTAACAGGCCTAACGCAACCTTGTTTTGCATAATGTGATGTAAATCCCGTATATGGCATGACTCCCGCGGCGCGTAATTTTATCCAATCTGAAGTCAGTATTAACAGAACGTTTTTCTAGTTAATCTTACCTAGAATTTGAATAGCATCTAATGCGACCTGGGTGGCATTCTCAGCTGCATATAGAATCACACCTGCACAGTCCTACCAAAGAAAATTGAATTAAAATATTGGCATTTGATATGAACATGGCATTGCTCTATAAGCAGTAAAGGGGTGTCAAAAGAGATTATCTTTTGATAGAGCACGTGATGTTACCCTCGAAAACTGTACTGTTTCATTCACAAGACAAAGGGGGAATTTATTTCGGAACAACACATGATCTTTAATGGGAAAACAGCCCAAACAAGTTTAGCCTGGGGTGCAGCCAGGCAAATTATCACAATATCTGATGTACAACTTTCTGTGATACAGGCTAAATGAGAAGGTATCTGAGGTCCCTTCTGCCCCGCTCTTCAGGGCATTTGAATGCTTGTCCTGCTTATTATTATACTTACAATACGCAAATTAGACTCAAAAGCAGTAAAACAGATCCTGGAGTGAATTCCTGGAGGGGACCCAAACTGATTCAGCTTGGCATCCACATCAAGGGAGTTACACCAGAAAAATTCTCACCACTACCCTCTCTTGCATGGCTTTTAGCATTTATGGAGTCATTTCTGACATGGCTTGTCTGTTTGCGTAGTTTCTCACAGGGCGAAAACAAAACCAACTACATGGCAGACAAGCCATGTGAATTACTTCGTAAACGCTAAAATCTATGCGAGAGAGCAACCTCTACTTGCAAGGTACCTATGACTAGAGGGAGACAGACTACATTTAGTAATATTATCCTATGTTTGGCAGACAGGAGAGTTGTCTGACTGCAGATTAGCAACTTCCAAGATGGTAAAGGGGGGCATTACAATACATTTCTAAATCATTTATCTACTGAAGAATTTTAAACAAACCTTAGTGTTGACATGTCCAGCATCACAAGCACGAGCAACAGAGTATACATAACTCCTACATGCATTAAGTCGAGTGTACATGTCAGCCATCTTAGCTTGGATTAACTGAAAACAAAAAGCAATATTTATACATCTCTGGAGGGGTATTGACTAATGAAAAAAGGAAAAATGCAGACTGTGAATCAGAGTGTGGTTGGGTGAGCAGAAAACACAAAGGTATTTACAACCCAACTTAGATTACAGTGCTCAAAATAATGGCTGGTCAATGGACAATGTCTGGCCAAGATGAGGTCAGATGAGCATTTACAAGTCTGGACAAACGTTCAGTTAACTGGCTGGTCATCTTGACTGGTCCAAAGTACATGGCTTTCAAATAAATACCTGGGAAAACAGATTTATTCACATAATGATTCTTTAAATCACAAAAACAGTTCAATCATAAAACATTTTAGCCGCTTGCAGTTATAAATTCATCTGATGACCTCAGTCTGTGGCTTTGTCAGAATATGACTGGTCAGGAACGAGACCAGAGCCTAAACTTTAAGTTACGCCAGTCAACATGACCGGCAACTGTCCAAAAATTATTTTGAGCTGTGGACTAGAGTAATGTTAGTTCCAATACCTTTGCAAACTAATGATGCCTATAATGACTCTGAGTTTTTATAGAAATACGCAATAATAGTAAAAAAACAAACTGCGGCAGCAGTTGATGATGCATTGGAGAGGATTACCTGGTGCTCACCAATTTTTTTGCCAAAAGCATCTCGCACATGGGCATATGGAAAGGAGACGTCGACACATGCCTGCATAAGACTGATGGTTTGATAAAAAGGACAACAAAATTATTGTTCTTATAACTTCATGTACATGTACATGCATGTAAAACTTTATTACAGAATTTCAAACTCTTTGACACAATTTGTACTATAACCACTGCAAAGTACTTTTTAGATTAGCATTTTTTTTCCATTGGAATTGTCAAGCAAGGTTTCTAATGCAGGAAACCCGTGTATTCATGTACAATATTATTTGACACTTATTCGACTTTACCCAAGAGGCTACAATGTGAGTTTCCTTTATATATCATGAAATATAACTATGGCTCTCATGATAATCATGAACAATGAGGACTAACAAACTAAAGCAACAAAAGGACATAACCATTTTCACCATAACTGCTTTAATAACTTCATAGGAGAAGGCCAAGCCTGAAATTAATATAGTTCTAATAAGCAAAAAATGTTTGTCAATAGAGAAGTAGTTTCCGACAATTAAAAACTTTGCTGTGACGCAGTTGTAATGTTTTGTTTCTCAGTTGTAGAGAATTATTTAATCAGGCTTCTCTAACTGCTCATCATCAAAATATTTAGGAATAGTAAAACATACATACCCTACAGGTCCTGCTGCTAAAACAAGTCTCTCCAAATCCAAACCACTCATAAGAACATAAACACCTTTGTTTTCTCCACCCATAATATTGGCAGCTATGTAAAACAGATACAAAATAATGTTTACTGGTAAGCAAAAATGTATATGTTGCAGTTAATTTTTTATTTTAGTTAATTTTTGTTTTTCCTTTGTTTTATGTTCATTAGCATTAACATACCCAAAGAGAATGGGAAAAAAATACAAATTAACTGAAATAAAACTAAAACTACTGCAACTGCACACAAATACAACAAAAAGAAGAAAAAATAGGAATATTCATATCTGAAATTTGTGAAGTTTGAATCATTTTGGTTTTGGCTTTTCTCCCTCTTAGTCTAGATATGAATAAATT